GGTTTTTACTCAGTATTTTTCAGATGGGTAGCCATGTTAGACTGTTTCAGCAAAAACAATGAAATCCCGGGACACCTTAAAGACTAACAAATTTATCTGGGCATAAATTCATGAGCCCACTTCATCAGATACAGGGATATATACACATGCAAAAATGTGAGTTACATGTTACTGTGCAGAGGACCAGTGCTAGGGGAGCCAATTCAATCAGGATGGACGTGGCTCACTTTTAACAGTTAATGAGGTGAGAATAACAAAAAGGAGGGAAATTATTTTTTTGTAGCAAGCTAGCCACTCCTAGTCTCTGTTCAAACCCAGACTATTGGTGTCAATTTTGCATATGATTTCCAGCTCTGTGGTTTCATGCTGCAGTCTGTTTTTGAAGCTTTTCTGCTCAAGTATGGCAACTTTCAGGTCTGTTACTGACTGTCCAGGGAGGTTCAAGTGCTCTCCTACTGGCTGTTTGTTCATCCTTTAAATCTGTGTCCTTTTATTCTTTTGCATAGTCTGATTTGGCCACCGTGCATGGCAGAGAGGGCATTGCTGACACAATGGCATATATCGCATTAGTAGATGTGCAGATGAACAAGCCCCTGATGGTGTGGCTGATGAGGCTAGGCCTGTGATGGTGTCACTGGAGTATATGTGGACAGAACTGGCAATGAGGTTTGTTGCAAGGATTGAGTTCTGAGTTAGTGTTTCTGCTGTTTGCTGTGTAGTTGGTGGTATTTGTTTCAGGGTGGGGGGCTGTCTATAAGGAAGGCTACATATTTTAAGAACTTTATTTTCACCAGGATTGTAAAATTTTCCTTTGTGGGGTTTAGCTGCTGGGTATGTGCTACAATGTGCATGGGGCGGTTTGATATAGACCCATAGCACCAGATCTTGGTTCCTATTCCTTTCCATATGTGCCAGGCCTGAAGTACAAACAAGGCAAAAAGCTGGCTTAAACAGCCAGCTGGGGAGTCCCATTACATAGAGGAATCATTGGGTGGCAAGTGGCCACCATTGCCAATCCCCCATACCAAAGATGTGTTCTGGACTGCAACTCACTATCTTCATCCTGGGCTGTCATTACTGGTGCAAATCAGAACCATCCTCAGGCTGCTCTAAGTTTGCACTTGGTTCAGCTACTCTGAGAACCAAGACAAGGGCAGGGCAGAAGGATTAATGGTTACTCTCATGGCTAAGCCAGGTGGCTGTTTCTATTCAGAACCACCCCAATTAACCACAGCTGAATCATACCTACCTCACAGCTAAGAGCTACTCAGTTCTTTGGTTAAGGCCACCTGACCAGTGACCAGGAAGGAGGATGTAAATACCAGCTGGCTTCCCCAAAGCACCTGGCAGCACGTTCCACTCCAGTTTGCCCAAGCCCCTGGTACAGAAAGGAGGAGGCAGTTACTTAGCTCAGGAGATCAGCTTGAGCCACATCTTATGTAGCATTCATACAGCAGTAGCAACTGGATGCCCCCACCAGGAGTCCATGTTGTGCTGGGAGCTGTGCAAACACACCGGCTATGTCTACACTGGCACCCTTTTCCAGAAATGCTTAAAACGGAACAGTTTTCCGTTATAAGTATTTCCGGAAAAAGCACGTGTACATTGGCAGGATGCTTTTCTGGAAAAGCACTTTTTCCGGAAAAGCGTCCATGCCATCTGTTGCCCTAGGGACGTGGACAAACAATTAAATCAAAATGGCCGACGGAGTGGATATAAAAGGGGAGAGGAAGTCCCTACACAGAAGAGAGATCCGTCCTGAGAGCCGTATCTAATCACCGGTGGATCTTTAGCCACAAATCAGGCATACACAATTTAGGGCCAAACCATGTATTTTTGAGTAAATAATGGAACAGATATACAGTTAACAGTAATTTTCAACAAACCAACCCTCCCTAACCCGAAGAAAGGAGATAGGACAGTTCCCTAAATACATAAGGTATATACAAAGCCTGAGGCGATCGATGCCTGCGACCTGCAACCCTCGGGCTATTTGTAAGCCTCTGGGGAGGACAAGCAGGGAGATCCCACGGTAGTGAGTCCTCTGTGAAGAGACGACCCCGATATGGATCCTCGATCTGGAAAGGAATTCCCTCTGGACACAGTCTGATCTGTCCTTCGACAACACCGTCTGCTCCAGTAGGTGAGTAATCCAATAAAGATGACAGGAAAGAGAGTCCCAGTTCCAGTGACCAGTGCAGACAGGAAAACCTTGTGGGTATTTACCACACAAGGGTAGCACAGTTCAAAAGTCCAGGCCTCTGATTACATAGATGGTATCCAAGCTTCAGGCAAACCATACACAGAGCAACAACAACAACAACAAAAACTAAGGCTGGGGAAAATCCAAGGACCCAAGCCCCTGATACCTCAGGGCTCTTATTGGCCCAGAGGCAGGAAAAATATGCTAATGAACTTAGGGGTTGAGGGCAGCTTCCTAGGGGCTGTGTGCAGTGGTTTTGGTGCTGAGTGCACCTCTTTTGGTGCTGAGTGCACCAGATAGTAACGGATGCACAGCCTGCTTGAGAGGGGTGCACAAGGTAGTGCCGTGTGCAAATCAACAGGTTAGCGGGAAAAACCTCCATCATGTAGAGAAAAGAAACTGTCTCTTTCAAAATGGAGCCCACTGAACTAAACTATAATACAGCCCCCCTTTTCTAGGGTAACACCAACGTAGACGCACTTTTCTGCAAAAAAGTCCCCATCATCATTTTCGCAATCGGGGCTTTTTTGCGGAAAAGAAATCTGTGCTGTCTATACTGGCCCTTTTCCTGAACAGTTTTCCGGAAAAGGACTTTTGCCCGAACGGGAGCAGCATAGTTTTTCTGGAAAAGCACTGATTTTACAGTAGATCGTCAGTGCTTTTCCTGAAATTCAAGGGGCCAGTGTAGACAGCTGGCAAGTTATTCTGGAAAAGCGGCTGATTTTCCGGAATAAGTGACCAGTGTAGACACAGCCATAGTAAGAGACAATCCCTAACAAGTAGCTTACAGCCTCTTTAAACTAACTGGTTTGAAATTCAGCCACTCTGTTCTAAAATTCTAGGCCCAGGCTTCAGGTGTCACTAGACATTTTGGCACTATTGGGTTTATCACTAGTGGGGCATAACAATTAATTCAAATGGACCTAGTATTTTTCCACATCTACTACTGTAGCTCTGTTAGCAGTTTAATGATTGTAATACCTCCCTTATCTCCCTTCTCATTTCCCCCTCCCCAAGTGCGTCTCTCTGTTTAAGCATGGGTTGGCAGATCATGATGCACTCTAAATCTTTCTTGGATGTTGTACAAGGGAGGGGGGAAGGGGAAGTATTCACTAGAGTTGTAAGGAACAAACCACAGGAGTGGGATTGCCCTGCAGGGAGAGGCAGCTAATGAGCAGGACGGAGTGCATAAAATCCTATTTGGATGGCTTCTCTGAGGAACAGCTGTCTCCTTGTAAACATCTTGCTAGCTGTTCAGTTTGAAAATCTGGACACAGACAGCTAAAGGAGAGTGCCTGGGTAAAGAGAGAAGGGTGTTGAAGGGGTGAGTTCATTCACTGAACAGCTAAGTGCATCAAGTGGCAGACCTCAACATCAAGGAAAATTTGAGCTAAAAGTTTGAGCCCCCCTCACATGCTGAAGAGATTTGCCTATCCAGTGGCCAACCTAGAGAAACCAGAGCACTGAGGGTGGCACAGCTCCCTTTCCAAAGGCCAGAGTAGTACACTTGTTTTACTCTATCTGCTGAAAAGCAGTCCCTCTTTTAACATACAAGCAGAGCACATTACCTGATGAAGAGGGAAGAAAAAAATTATGTCCTTACTGCAGCAAAGAGAAAAGGCAGGAACCCAAGACAATGAAAGAAACTGAACAGTGACCCTTGGGGCCTAGTTTATATTAGAAACACTTTGCTGGTATAAATGTGCTAGCAATCCCTCTTAGAGATGTAGCTATAGCAGCAAGAAAGTGATTTTGCTGGTATAGTTTACACCGGATCTGTGAGCAAAAATAAACTATGTTGGCAAAAGCCCTCAGCTTCCCTAGGGCTTGTGCCAAATAGCTAGCTCATAAAAAAAAAATCATCCTATCTGACACTGCTGTGCCACCAGAAGTTTCCAGTGTGTACTTGTCCTCAGAGTCAATTACTTCTCATGTATCTGCATTCAGGGAGAATCATATTTACTAGCCCCTGCAAGTCTTTGTAGGTTATGTAAATGTGTATATAGATGTGTCTCCATCTTGTATAGCTTCCTCCTCCTCCAATATTAAAAGCCCCACAACACCAGAATGTACTAAAGACTAATGGAGTAGAATAAGAAGATCACAGCTACATTCCCATTTAGAAACAGTCACTGGAAGTAACTATAGCGTAGTATCCTGCGATCAAAGCATTAGTCCACTTGACAAGGATGGAAACTGGTGCTATGAAGCTTATGTAACCAATACAAGGGCTAGCTACAGCATTCTGTTCATCTTATAGTGCTCCATCAGTATAGTATTCACCCAGATAATCCTTTATACTATCTATTCAATGCATACTGCAATTAATATTGGAAAATGACATTCCTGAGACTTTTTCTGACCCAACCCTTTCACCCCAAACCTGAATTATGGCTGCCTCCTGCTGATGGGATTGGCACAGCAGTGGCTGCATGCCCAGCTACTGCCTGCTATCAGCCATTCCAGCATTATAGCAAAGAGAGGGGCACTGTGCCTCATCAGCACACTCACTCTGCAGCGCATACAGAGTGCAGTGAGATGGCAACAGTGACCAGGAATGGGGCATACAGCTGACGCCATGACAACCTCAGACAGGAAAAGTCATCAGAGACAAGCTGACCCGAAGGAGGTTGGGTTTTCTTCTGATTTTACCCAAACCTGACACTTATAACTTGGTTCCTTTGGTTCAGGTCGAGTTGCAGGGCTGTAAGTGGGAGGAGGTGGGTGACACACTCGCCCATCCAAAGAGAATACCAGGGAGCTTGTGTTTAAGAGTCTTTAAAAGAAAGATACACAATTTGTTCCTTTTACTTTTATTTCTCTTTTGTGCCATTTTGCTGTAGTTATGCAAAAAGAGACTGCTTGAAAATAAACCCTGTGTCATAGGGAGAGAAAGATGCAGGTTCTGCTGATCGGATTCCTTCAGAGAGGCCTAAAGAATGGCAGCTCCCCTGTTCCATTAAAGTCCAAACCAGTCAGTAACTCCTCCTCGTCTGGGGTCAGCTGTTTGCCTCTGTCTCTCATTCTCCATAAACTGCTTTTGGATTTCTTCCATAGAGCCAGGTTCTGTGGTTTCTTTTTTCTCTGGAAATAGGTTTGGGAACTGAAAGGTTTGTCCCTGACCCTAAAGAGAGAGAACAAATGATCAGATATATATTTTAGCTTCTGTCTGAAGTGATTTATATGCTTACAGCTGTATATGAAAACCATTTAGAAGCTTTGGCTAGTAGAGAATGCTGCTTCCCATCTTCCAAGCAGGACAGGGCGTGCGCGCACACACCCACCCACCAGCTCATACTCTCCACTGGTTTCTTAATAACTTCTGTGTGCAAATCTAGGTGTTGGCAACTAAATTTAAGGCATGAATGCTCAGGAAACAACTATCTGAGATCCATCTCTTATATTGTACCACAGCATATCAATTAGAGATGTTTGTATTAGCTCCTAAGATAAGATCAAGGCCACTGGCAGGGAGTGGTTCTGTCAGAGTCCTAACTTCAATGAACCTTTTTTTTTTCTTTTAGCACTTAAATCATCTGTGCTTATGGATGATTAATTTATAATATAAATGTTATACTATATCTAGCTATCATGGCAAGAAATGCTACAGTTCAGTTTCAGCAATATTCACCATCAAGGGTCATACATGAGTACAGGACAGTGGATGGCAGGGATTTGTTACCAGCTGGAACAAAGAATCGAATATAAAACAACAGTTCAGTGGGGAAAAAAACAGTAATATATCAATGTTCATGAGATAAAGTGATTAAACCTACATCAATCATTCTGCATAACAGACTAGCTGTTGTAATATATCACTGTCATAAGATCAATATTTCCTGCCTAGATGGAAAATAAACATCACTTGGCCTCTAGCTTTTATCTAGCAGCAGGAAACCATTATTCTGTGACAACGTTCCATCCTATTGACATTATCTCTATTTCTGAGTATTGTTTGTACCAATCACAATCTCTTTAAATCAACAATGCAAGTCCCATCCATTCAATTAAGTATGAAACACTGCATAATTAAGCACACACAATAATATGGCAGAGAGAGAGAGAGAGGTTATAAAAATAATATTGGGGCTGTTTTAACACTAACAAATATATGCATTTTTCAGGGTTTCAATATGCATTTGCCACAGTACAAACTGAAATTGTTTTTGCACACTAGAATGCAGATGTAAAAAATGACTGAAGACCCATCTACACTATAAGCTTAACTACCTCAGAGATCCAGTTACAAGAGAGCTCCAGATGGGGGCTTAATCACATTCCATACAAAGGCTGACATAAGAACACGGCTCAACTCTGCTTCCAGAAAACTGCTGCATTCCTGTCTACACTTCATTTGAGAACTGAAAATGTAATGTAACTGGGTCTAAGGAGAATAGGAACTGTGTCACTTGAAACAGCAGCCCTATTTTTTTAATTCAGCTTTATACACTACATGGCAATTTACAGGTGAGAGGCAATCTAAACCCCAAATGTAGACTAGGATGCTACAACTTGCTCCAGTTGAGCTTGTCCATGCTTGAACCTATAAGTTCAACTAATGTAGTAAGGCTCCCAGGCTGTTTCTTAACATCTGCTTCTTGGGATTCCTAAGAGGCTATCTATACTACAAAGCAAATAAGGGAACTGGGTACAGCACAGCTATCCTAGGACAATTAAAGCAGAGCTCCATTTCATGTAGAAATGGGCTTTATCAGCTAATGCTGAAATCATGAAGTTTTGAAGTTCCTTTGCTGTAAGTTCCTCCTTTAAAGTACAGTACCATGAAAATAGCTACACCATTCCCTATACACAGACTTGCTGCGAGCTCCCTTATAGTCAGATGCTGATCCTCTATACAATGCACAGTATTAATATGCTTTAACAAAATCAAGGGACAATCATGTTGTAAAGAAATCCCTGACACAGAACTACCTGTAGCCCTAAAACTTCATTATTTAAAAACAATTCAGGCCAACATTTAGGCAGGACCCAAGCACACGTTTTACTGGTAACAAGGTAGAAAAGAGTGATCTCCTGATTTACCACAGTCATTTGGATACATTTCCAATAACAATATGCTTCCGTTATTGGAAAATGAAGAAAAATAGTCCCTGCAGTGTACTAGTGACATCCATTGTGATTCACTAAGCACTACAAAAAGAAAATATAGAGTTATGCACAAAGGCTACAGTGGAAACAGATAACCCTTTCATCTATTTATCAACGTGCTCAGAGTTCCCATTCCAAGGCTGGTGAAAGTAAAATATTGAGCAGATTAAGTCAATCTGTATCTGAAGCTTTTTAATAAATAAATATCAGAGTAGACAAGTTGGCTCTTTTCAGCTCTTGTTTTGTAAAGAAATTCTGATTTTGGCTGGCAGCCAGACACAATTTCAAACAGCCAAGACATTACACTCTGAGAACTGAAGGTTTATAAATCCTAACAAATACTATGCTGTAATACTGCACTGTAAGACACTGGAGTGATGAAAGCTGAATGAAAAATAGCTATTGTGCATGCTTGGTAGCTAGTTTTCAAAATCAAGTATCTGGGCTTTTTCAAAACTTAAAATATAGCAGGAGATATCAGTCTATGCAAAAGGAAGAATGTACATTCAGCTATATTTAAATTCAGTATACCTAAGGCAATAAGCTTTATTCTTTAAAAATGACAAACTTGTATATTTTAATTACAAAGTAAACAACTGACAGCCATATGATAAATAGATTAATAGGGAAAATCCTGACCCATCTAAAGTCAAAAGCTAAATCACCATTGCCCTCAGTAGGGCCACAACTTCACCACTATGTTCTCACACGATGGAATGAATGTTGATTGATACAATATGCAACTGAAAGGTATATTTCTGGCGTTCCATTCCTAGTGCTCACAATGGTTTGCTGTGTGACCTTCTCTAAGTGACTGAACCACACTGGCAGCCCCAAATTGCTCATTTTGTATACAAGATGATGACCAGTTCACAAAGGTCCTGTGAGGTTTAATATTTAAAAGCATTTTGAGATCACTCAATGAAGGGCACTTTAGAAATATATTGTATTGTTGCTGGGATAGTAAACTTTGCTGGTGCTAAAAAAATCTCTATATTGAAAGGATACGGGGTCTTCCCACAGATATTTGTTTTCTACAAATTATAAATTTATATGCAAGAGAGGTGCATGGTCCATCGTTTACTTTTTAAAAGGAAGCTGTTAACTCCCCAAATCTAATCCTTCTGCTTCAAACAGCGAGCAGTCCTGTGACACCCTAGAAACTAACAAATATATTATATTGAGTTATCCTGCGTAAAACCCACTTCAACGGATACAGTTTACCTTGATATAAAATTCACTTACATAATGGCTATTAAAAGGATTAATTCAGGAAATGTTGTTACAACCTTTGGAGATAAACATGCTCTATTTTTAGTTTAAATCTCTTCTGGTTACGAAGATCGTTTTTCAGGATGGAAATAAAGGTTGTCCTCAGAGAGAATCATCACACCAAGAGGTACAAATTGCCTCTATTCAACTTAATGGTCTGTTAAGTGATCATATTTAGATCTTTAAAGTTAAGTATTAACATTGTTAACCTTTTCACCACTGCGCATCATACCAGAAATACCCAGTTAACAGGCTTGTCCAGCACAAGCTAGTTATAATGTGCTCTAACCTTCCATTTCACACATTTTGGAATGAAAGGGAAGCACAGGAACTGTTCTGCAGAAATAATGCAACAAATGTTGAGTTTGCAAACAGCTGAAAGCTTTTTTTGATTATTTGGATAATTAAGATACTTGCTACTGTCCTTCAGAATTAGGCTACAGTGATGTTTATAATGTCAGCATCTAAAATATGCTGCATTTCTACAGTGAGGGACTTGGGCCAGCACCAAAGACATCTAAGTTTTATAACCTAATATATTTGAACGTCTCTCCTTGTGAATTATAATAATAATATCTGATATTAAAATAAAGAATGGAACCAAGCAGAACAGAAGAATTTACTTTAAAATCCTTTCTGTAACACAGTAGCATATGGGGAATCTTACTTTTCCCAATATGCTTTAGATTCAGTGAGAAACCCTACAAACTGCTGTCAACTTTGGAGAGGGGCATTTTTAAAGTGGCATGTGAACTGCTTAAAATATGCTTAAAAGGCACTGTACCCAAGGCATATGAAGGAATATTTACAAAAAAAAATCCCACTGGAGCCATCCCTTGTACAACAGAACAGGTACTAGCCCAATGTAGACAACACTGTTCTTCTTTGTACTACCATTTCCATTAGACTTTCTCTAAGCAAGTTATTCCAGCCCCTTGTCTACACTTCTACTCCACCTGCTTAGCTGAAGTAGTGATAATGCTGGTTATATTTTGAGTTTCCCCAATATTGACATGGGCCATAAAAACCTCTCGCTGACTTTTTATGGAATCTATACCTCCATCAGAGCAAGCATTTGCCAGTTCATTTTTCATCAGAAAGAAAAGCTAAACCACATCTGAAGCAGCTTCTTTTCAAAGATAAATAACATGGCTTTTATGAAAAATGAAATAGCTTAAAAAGCAACAGAATTCTATACAAAGGACTATGAATCTATAACATGAAGTTTGTTCCTTCCCCCAACCTCCCAGGTGGTGGTAAGAGAAGGAACAAGGATCTAGAGCAGGGTTTCCTAACCTATGGGTCGCCATTACATTTCAAAAGGGTCACCCACCAATTGTCTCCCCAGGTGGCTCTCCCCCACCCCACCCCACCTCCCTCCATTTTTGAATTGCCTTAGGTCACCAAGTCTTCTTGAATTGTCAAAATGGGTCCCCATCTGGAAAAGGTTGGGAACTGCTGATCTAAAGTGACTTGAGATATTTTTTACCACAGCTTTGACAATTTAAGGTCATTTTTAATGGCAATTTAAGGTCATTTTTAATAACACCTGAACTGACAAGTTTGGCAAGTTAGAACCTGAGGAAAAAGAAAACCATTCCAAATCCTCAAGAAAGAGAATGTAAGTGAGACTGTATATTGTATATGATTCTCAATAACATACTGTTCATCTTCAAAACACTTTAAATGCATTAATATGTGAAGGTGCTGTGAAGCTGATATTCTCCAAAGTAGATCACCATGACTAGTCTCTTTAAAAAGAACCTGATTTCATTCAGGTAAACCAGAGACTTGCTAGCAAAATAATTCACACTAGGAAGAGTAATACTTCCATCTAGTGGTTACTAGAAAGGCCAACACAAAACATTCCTGACCTCTTCAATTTCTTACACTCTTACACCATTTTAACTTGAAACTGGACTAGAGAAAACACAGCTGGTAAAAATGACAGAAAAGTGAAAAACACTAACTAGTTTGACCTTAGTTGGAGTCATCACAGATGCAGCATGATTCTAATCAAAAAGGGATTTTGAAGTGCTTAGCACAGGTTTTTCTACACTAGTAGAGTTCTATTTTAACCATGGGGCCTAATGAAGGCAAAACCAAACATTTCAGACTTGATAGTGGGGGCATGAACTATAGACCACTGCTGTAAAATCAACACTAACACAGAACTGCCAGCACAGCCAGAGGCAGAAGGTTTGCAGAAATTTTGGTGGTGCCCAGAATGCTCAGAGCCTACACCCTTCCCCGAGGGAGTTTGAGTGTAGGAGAAGGTCTAGAGTGCCGGCTCTGGCCATGGCAGGAGTGCAGGGCTGGTGAGGATGCAGGCTCTGAAAAGGAGTTTGGAGTGGGGGGGGGAGGGGGGGAAGGAAGGGTGCAGCGCTTACATGGAGCATCCCACTCTCTCAGCGGTTCTTGGGCCGAGGGGGTCTTTGCATGCTGCTGCCCACAGGGGCGCTCAGCGTGGAGGCAGAGTGCATGTGAACGTGCACGCACACACACACACACACACTTGTTGAGGCCTAGGATCAAAGCCCAGGCTGGAACCCCACTGCCGAGAGCCAAAGACCAAGGATAGCAGAACAGAAGAGCAGGGCTCAGGTTATAGGTCCTCTTCTTGGGGATGAAGATCTGGGGCATGCCAGCAGTTGCACACAGTGTGAGTGGGCCCGAAGCTGCTCTAACCCCCTGAGCTGCCAGTACAGTTGCCAGGCTGCCTCTGTATTGAGCTGGACAGCCCGGGATTTTTGCCTCCCGGCTGGGGGAAAAAAATCAGAAAGTACCAGAAATTTTAGGTGTCCAGTATTTTCTGATTTTTTTTACCGGACAGGAGGTGAAAATAACCGACTGTCCCGTTCAATACTGGACACCTGGCAACCCTAGCTGTCAGTGGTGGGTTTGGGGACCCCCTTAGCATTTTAAGTAATCTCAGGAGTGGCAGGTGGGGCCAGAGGAAAAAATGGAGGCACAGATGTGGCAGGCGGAGCTAGGGGAGAAACCTGGTCCCAAACTTTGAAGAAGCAGGGCCCCCTAGCCAGGAATACTCCTGAGCCCAAGCACCATGGGCCGGTGTAACTCACTGACTCTGAGCTGAATGAGAAACAGATCAGGACTGGTCATTTAAAAAAAAAAAGACACAAACAGGAGAAATAAATAGCAAAGACATGAAATAAAAAATAGTGGGCCAGGAGTAGAGCACACACACAAAGGTGGGGTTAAAAGAGAAAGAGAAGGAAGGAACCTAGAAACCTAGAGGTGAGGGAACGCAGAGCACACTTGATATCCTCGCTCAAGGTTTACTGAATTACTTTGCCGAGTCTTATGTTATTACTTTACTTATAGTTCAATAGCAGGTAGGACAGAGGAGGACAAACTATAGCCTCAGGCCACATCCAGCTGTGTGGACCCTTCAGTCTAGCTCCTGAGCTCCTGCCACAGAATAGGATCAGGACAGCCTTGCCAAGAAGAACCAGTCCAACTTCAGGGTTGCACAGCTACAGATCTGGCCAGGCTGCTGCAGTAGGGCTGCCAATCCTGGTACTTTGGGTGGCACAGGCAGAAGGGGGGTGGGGAAATGAATAGGGGTGGGGATCCCATAGGGGACAGTAAAGGGGAAAGGAGCTGGATGGGGCCAGGGCCAGACCACTCTGGCTTTTGTGTCAAAGCCTGCCCCATCCTTTCCTACCCGGCCCTCCATACAATTTCTGTACCCAATGTGGGCCTCAGGCTAAAAAGTTTTCCCACCCCTGGTCTAACAGCACTAACCATGCATCAGGACTCCACTGAGCTAGGTACTGTATAAATGAGGAGCAAATAAAACATCCCTGCCCCAAAGTATTAAAGCTGTCTCAAATTGTGGAATAAAAAAGTATGGCATTGCTGAACACTGCCCCTCACAGATGTGCTGTATGTGATTGTTCCAGGTACAAATACTTGGCCTGAAGTAAGCACACACAATACTGCTCTGAATCTGCAATCTATTCCACAATGCTGGAGAATTTTGTTTCTAAATATAGTATAGACAACTTCCAAAGATCTATGCCTGTTTACAATCTGTTTGATGCTTCCTGAAAGCAGAGAATGTGGCCGTGGAAAGTGGCTGTAAAGTCTCTATTTGGAGACTACATTGGCTAGAAAAGGGAGCATGGCCAGGAAATACAAGGACACTATGCACTGCTGAATCCCCTTCATCAGCAAGGATCCCTTTGATCCTTAACTGCTGTCCAGTGTTTCCTGTAAGCAGTGCGCTTGTGCAGCTACTCAGGAAAAATTCAAATACCGCCCAGCTGATCAGAAAAGCACCCATGGCTAAGTTTTGTGTATCTACAGGTGGTGCACACTTGCACATCTCAGTGCACATAAAAAAAAACTATTCCACCCACGGACGGAAAAGAGTAGAGGGAACATTGTTGACTACCTTATCTAAAGGCAAATCTATATATATCTCCGATTATGTCTCCACTGAAAATAATAGGTGTGGTTTTACATCAAATTAAATCCTAATGAAGATAAGGACCTGGAGTTTCTACCTCCATGTAAACTAGCAGGGATCAACCCTATAAAAACTAATGGTTTGGAGTTTTTTTTAACTAAATTCTTTTCATTCAGACACCCTTACTATGAGGCCTTAGGAGGTGGCAAAATACACCATGGCTACGTCTACATTGGCCCCTTCTCCGGAAGAGGCATGTTAATTTCCAACTTCAGAATAGGGAAATCCGCGGGGGATTTAAATAAACATGGCCGCCGCTTTTTTTCCGGCTTGGGGAAAAGCCGGAAAAAAGCGTCTAGACTGGCGCGATCCTCCGGAATAAAGCCCTTTTCCGGAGGATCTCTTATTCCTACTTCGAAGTAGGAATAAGAGATCCTCCGGAAAAGGGCTTTATTCCGGAGGATCGCGCCAGTCTAGACGCTTTTTTCCGGCTTTTCCCCAAGCCGGGAAAAAAGCGGCGGCCATGTTTATTTAAATCCCGCGGGGGATATTTAAATCCCCCGCGCATATCCCTATTCTGAAGTTGGAAATTAACATGCCTCTTCCGGAGAAGGGGCCAATGTAGACGTAGCCTATTAGTACAGGGAAAGCTGATGTTGCAGAAATGTATAGTACAATGGACAAGTCACTGAGCATTATTTCTAATGATGCTGATTAACAGACCCTATCCTCACTTCAAACACACATACATGCATACTCACCAGCTGCACATATGCAACCTTGTAATCTGGGATCTTCACTTTCTGGTTCTTGTGGTTCCTTTTGTTGTTTGCACCTGTTCAAGTGAAGAGAAACTCATTTTTACTTTCCCAGAGTCACAAGTTCCTCCACCTGAAAAGCTTGATTTGAGTTTTGATTCTTTTGTGGGGAAGAATACTGAATTTATACTATTGCCATAGAATCTGAGCACCTCACAATGATTAAAACATATTTATCTTTTGATAGGTACCACTGTCCTGCTTTTACAGATTGGGAACCAAGGCACTTACTGAAGGTCTCACAAGAAGCTTGTAGTGGAGCAAGAAACTGAACCCAGGTTTCCCAAGTCCTAGTCTAGTGCCCTACCTACTAGGTCATGGATCCTCTTTCAACACCTTTGGGGAACCAGGAACTCCCAAGGAAGAAAATATTCATGTATTAAGTGACTACAAAGAACAGGGTCCCTTCCCTATAGAATTCCCCATCTAAATTATGCAGTCTGTAGAGGTAGTGCACAAGTACAATTCGCTGTTTCTGCTTTTAAAGAAATTACAAATAAAGTTTAGCTATCTTTAATTTTCTAAAAAATAGTGGCTGTGCTTCATTATAGCTCCCCAACTAATGACATTTTCCCACTCCCTACTCTTCTATCTTTCACTTCCTCCCAGCACACACACACACTACCACCATCTCTCCCAGACAGGGAGGTGAGGTGGGGAGATTACCAGGTTAGGGATGAATAGTTTTAGAAGCGGCTCGGAAGTAAATGTACATAAAACTAGTATAAAGTTATTTATAAAATAAAAAATTAAAAATAATACATTTGCTCTTCCTTTTATTTACTCTCTACTTTTCTCCCGGTATACATACAGATACCTACATTTATTTTAAGGAATTTTAGAAATATTTCTTCATGTTTTCTCTAGGAATTATTAACTTCTCTCCTTTCTCAGATGTGTCCTACAATCTTGGGGTTTTTTTTACCATTTTTTTAAATGTCCTCCCTAATGCTGGCTTTTGCATACTGAACCAACCAGTTGTTCCTCTCTAGATGTGGGATGCAGATTAAGAAAAATTTCCCACAACACAACACAATTTTACTCATCAGTCAGAATGAGTTACATTTCAGATACTTACTGCATGACTATTAAGCCAATTATCATTTAAAAATCCCGCCCTTACTCTGCAATACTCTTCCAATGCATTCCATCTATGACTACAAAAGCTCCAGGGAGGGTAGCATCAGATGTAAGAATATTTATGCACCTTTTCAGCCTTAGCTATTTATTAACATTATAAGAAATATAAGGAAGGAAGGTTGTTTAACTAATTTTATATAAGAACTACAAGATTTATCTGAAATTGCTCAGGTACTTCAGTGTGGAGTGTGTGAGGGTGCAGGAGTCTGGGCAGGGACTTGGGGATGTGCTTAGGGCAGGGGATGGGGATAAGGATGCAGGAGTCAGAGCAGGCGGGTGGGTGGTGAGAGAGGGCTTACGACAGGGGGATAAAAGTTAGGGCAAAGAATGGGAGGCTCCGGGCAAAAGATGGGAGGAGGCTCAGGGTGGATACAGGATTCAGATCAGGGAGGCTCAGGACAAGTCCTTAGGGTATGGGGGTGAGAGGTTGGCAGCTCCCTGTGGAAGGAGAAGCCCTGGACTGCCCAGCCCTTCAACTGGTGGGCAGCTAGCTCCTCGGGGGGGGTGTTAAGCGGGCATGGAGAAGATGATCATTCCAACACAGTGATGGGATCTATGGGGTGGTAGGAGGAAGAGAGATTTCACCATCTCTCACTCTCAAAATACCTTATTGGGGAATCAACACTTGGGGATTAACACAGTTGTAGGCTGAATGGAGCTTTGTTGAAAACAAACACCTTTTTAAAAATCCCAAAAAGAATATTAGCCTCAGTGCTCACCATACTGTATTCTGGTCCTCACTGCCGACACTGGAACATTGTATATTTTTTCTAGATAATTCTTAACATCCAGTCTAGTCATCCTGTGCAAAAAGGAAATATTTTGGAAAAGGGAGGAAAAGTGTAAATGTTTAAATTCAAAACAGAAAAAAATATTTTTAGGATTCTCAATGGTTTAGAGCAAATATACCCACAAGTCAATTTTCAAAACAGTTTTACTGTCACAAATATAAAAGCACAGTTTGCAATGGTGTTATAAATAATCATATACTGCAGCAATAACTATTTAATCTTCTGCAGTCTGAATAGTCATAAACTCAAACACTGGTTGTATTCAAACAGGGTAGATGGGCTCACTCTCTCTATTCCAGTGGACAATACTTTCGTTTTCTTTGTAGACATCTCTAATCTCTATAGCAGGGCTACTCAACACGTGGCCTGCACGCAGCCCACAGCCCATTTGTTTACTTCCGGTGGTGCAGTTTGGGTTTACGTGGGGCTCAACATGAAACCCTCGGTGGGATCCTTTGAAGATGGCCTCCACTGGGAACATGCTCCGCAACGGTGAGACATCTCCCAGGCAGAAGTGAGCATTGAAAGACACAAGCAGACGGGCTGGGTGGAACAGACGGGTACAGGATGTCAACATTTCTAGTCCCCAGGGAGGAGGTGCCGTGAGCACCGGGGCATTGTGGGAAAATCTGGCTGCTTAACCTTGTGGACAGAGCCTGAGAAGTTCTGACTGGTTCACACTGGTCATGTTTGGTTCAGTGCTACTAAAGGCTTAATCTTTGTATTTATGCCCATCAGTGTGAAAGAAGCTATTTGCATATATTTGCATGTAAATGCAACCACCCTTAAGTTGCAGCCCTTAGCATGTGCTGTATCATTGTGGTCCCCGGGGCTTCCTAAGTTGAGTAGCCCTGATCTATAGGATCCTCTACAAACTTGCAGACTTTGCTGTGTCCAGTTAGACTGGTGAATAAAAGAGTGATTTCAAACAAATAAATCAATAGTAAAGTGGGGACTAGAACCCACTGAACAAGATGCTATGATCTTGTCTCATCCAATGGGACTTAGGGATGTTAGAGTGTAACCAATTAATCATTTAATCAATAAGCTGATACTTATCAGTTAATGGAGTTGGTTACACTCAGCTGGCTCCTGCGGAGGTGGCTTGCTGCAGCAGGGCAGCAAAGTCTCCTCCCCTGGAATCCAGCAGGCAAGAGCTGTTGGCTCCACTCCCGGGGAGAAAGCTTCGCTGCGGCCAACTTTTAACATCCCTAAAGTTTTTTTCCTTATTATTTAGACTGCTATCCCTGAAGGCATTTAACAGAGGCCTTGGCTTCATTGCTGCAGGCTGTTGACCTTAGTTATACAACTTCAGCTACATGAATAACGTAGCTGAAGTCGATATACTTAAGTCTGCTTACTAGGGATGTCAACATGTAGTCAACTATATGATTAACTAATAAGCCTAGGCTGATCGACTACACACATTTCTCCCCGTCCTCCGCCCCCACTTGCTGCCTCTGAATCAGTGGTGCTGATTTATTATTTTTATCATGGTAGTACTCAGATGTCCCAGTGAAGAATGTGCTGTTGATGCTGATCTCTAAAGTCTTGTCTACACTTACAAGTTATGTTGTCAAAAAACGCTTTTTGGCTACAAAATCCAGACACACTGCTACAAAAATCTAGTTCACATTGCAAAGCATCAAAAATTGTGACAAACATGCAGTGTTAGTGACACAAAAATTCCACTTCCACAAGAGACTTTTCTCTCCGCCTCCCTTTATTGTTGACAATCATATAGTACAGGGCTATTCAACACGCGGCCCGCAGCCTGTTTGTTTGCAGCCCATGGTGCAGTCTGGGTTTATGCAGGGCTTAACATGCAGGTGGGATCTTTTGAACACGTCCTCCACTGAGAACACACATCATAATGGCAAATCAATATAATGGTCTTCTGTTGATATGCATTTTAGTAGTTCAATTCCTGGACTGTCGTTGCTCATTAAACATGCTGTAATATGGGTGTAAATAGGGTAAATATTGCATTTTATTCCACAGGGAGTTCATATCTCCACGGACAGGAGCTGCTGCCACCCCTGTATTAGATGCCACAGGGCAGCAGGTAGCTTGTCTGTGAAGGAAGCTGTTTTTTAAACTGGCACACCTCGCAAACTGGTTCCTACGTGGTAGATCAGCACAGGATGGCAGGAGGCTCCCCAGGAGTAGGGCCAGAACACATTGGCTGCCGGCTTTACTCCCGGGGACTATCAAATTGTCATGTAACCAATAACAATTTATGCAGTCACAAAACTATTCATTTGTCTGATATCTAACAGCCCTAGTGCTTACCACAGTACCTTCGCAGAAGTCAGTCAACAGCAGATGCTCTCCCATAGACTCCAACTACTATTCTCATTTTGGTGTTATGCTGGAGTCGACAGGAGAGTGCTCAATTTATTGTGTTATACAAACCCTACTGGATTTATTGCTGCCTGCGGATCCAGCGAGTAGCGAAGACATGCTCTGAGAAGCAGATGAACCCCCTTTGTCTATTGTTCCTCTGCTCGCACTTACTCCATGGAGATACGGAATTGTACAGTGTCTTCTGGCTGCGGCACACCAGGCCTCACCAGTGTCATGAAGAAGTTAGGCCGGAAAATCCTCAGTTGGGGGTTTCCTAGCTGATACAGGGGGTACCTAAAGGGGGTGGAAGAAGTTACTCATAAAACACTAGTGCATTATAAAATCTTGGTTTTCTTTTACTCCCCAAATGAAATCACATACTGTACACCTCGCAAAGAACACCAACCTCAGACACAAAAATATGATCTTTTAAGTTGGTTTATTCCTTTGCCAGATACACGTTTTTGCACTTTAAAAAAAACACACAGCATGTACAAAGACTAAACCATGTTCTTGGCAACCCTAATTCAGCCCCATGTGGTATTTTTCTAGGGAGCAAAAGAGAACCGGATACCTGGCTTGAAATGAGGGTCAGGATTCAACGGGTGGCTACATTCAAAGCCGCAGGCAAACAGCGTTTGAGAGATGTCTTTTCAACAGGGCAAGGGACCTGACAGCCCAAGCAAGGCGGCTGGAAGTAGCGATGTTGGAGCGACACTGATTAAACGGTTACCCAATACGCACTGACGGGTCGGTTAACCTTACCGTTAACTCCCAGGCAGTGCCGGGAGCCCGAGGGTCCAGCCCGCGGGGCGTTCAACCAGGTCACCCACTGAACTCATAATAGGTCGCACGGTCAGGGCGGTTGGGGTTTGGGGTCGCACGGTCAGGGCGGTTGGGGTTTGGGGTCGCACGGTCAGGGCGGTTCGGTTTGGGTCGCACGGTCAGGGCGGTTCGGGTTTGGGGCCGCACGGTCAGGGCGGTTGGGGTTGGGGGCGGCCGGGCAGGGGGGGTAGGGGGGG